GATTTTTACTTCTTAATAAAACTCTGAAAGATCCTTAGAGATTTCTAATTCTTTGGATGGATTTATAGGATCGATTTTTAATCTCGAATCGTTAAGTTAAGGATTACTTTCGGTCGCTAGCTGAGTCGAGTTCCATATTAACTACACGCGTTTTTAGTTGGTGGAGATTTCTTTTCATCATTTTGTCGACGATTGGGGGGAAAAAAAAAAAAATGAGAAGAAACGTTGTATCAATTCGATTTATAGTCTGTGTGACTCACTTTGGCGAAACAGTGTTTGTCGTCGGAGTCAGTTGCTAGCGAAACTGCTAGAAGAAGTGCAAGTTCAGAAAAGTATAATAAATCAGTCCGACTGTGTTTGTCCAGATTTACGATTGTACAACGTTGAGCAACGAGGAGATGCTTCGAGGAAAAATTCGAAACTGGCTTCGCGAGTTAACCAATACCATCGATTAGCTCTCTAAACGCGACGATAGTCTTTATATTGTAGGAGAATTTTATTGGAAATTTATCAAGTATGAATAGTACAGGTGAGATTTTCCATGCGTTTGTGGATGGCTGTACAATTGAAATTTGAATTGATCCGTGAAATTTCAAGGTGCAGAAATACAAAAGTAAATACAAAATGTCCCTGATAGTAAAACACTTAGCTGAAAAAGCGTTCTTCGTTTCTCTCGACGCGTGAAATAATTTAACAGTAATGCACAGTGAACGCGCAATAAATTGAATGAAATCAAATATTCGAAATTGAAACCGAAGAACCTTTTTGCTCAGGTTCTATGTTCTCTCAACGTGACTTTGCAATAATAATCATCCTGGCTAGATACGAGTTCGAGTGAATGTCGAGTTACGTTTGCTCGCCAGCGGGGAATCCTCGTTTCGATCGAAACGTGTCCGGCAATAACGCAAATACAACTGGGATATAACTGATTTAAATGAATTGAACGTCTCGATTGATCCTCGTTCGAGCTCGAACCTACTGTCCGATCGCACGTGCGATTCAAGCTTCCGTTTCGAATCGTCAATGTTCTCGTGAACAATTTCACTTACTTCTAAAAGGTTTTCCACACTTTAGATTCAACCTTTGTCGAATTGTTGCAATTACTGCAAATGAATTTCGATATTTAGTCTATAAATCCTAATTACTTGCTAATTACTACGGAGGATAATAATATTTTCCCTTTCATTCTTATCCACTGGATATTAGACAGAAGTGAATGTTTTTCGATATTTTCCAATTTTGCGTACGAAATGTCCACGATTCACTTGATATTCAGTTAAATGTCAAATGAAGCATTTAAATTCTCGTCGTGCTTTTTGCACTTTAAGTCCGCTTATAATAGTACAATGTTCCAGCATTGCCGGCGTAAAAATATCCCTATCTGCTAATAATGCATTATTATTAACAATAAAGAAGCAATTAAGATGATAAAGAAACTGAAAACGCACTTTCTCGTTTGCCATCCACGTCAATATTCGCGGGAATCGTTTGCACGAGCTTATGTAACAAGTTATGTTGCCGGTTAGTCACGAATCTGTACGGGCCCCCATGCACTTCCCTCGAACTGGCTGTTCCAGGCCGATCCACCTCGAGGAAGACACGCACTACGAAGAAGGCACAGTTTCTCAAAGATCAGTTCAGTGATCAATCGAACGACGAATGCATATGCTCCTGGCCCCTGCGGCTTGCATCTCGAAAAAAAACTTTAGTTCTTTTTTTTTCGATGTCGCTCCCGGTTCGGTGCCGTTCGTTCGTACTCTCTGCGTGTAGATAGATTCCACGAGGCAAGAGTGGTGGGGATATTGGTGCCTCGTGGCCCTATATAAGGTTTGCGCCGTTCCATTGCCTCTCGGTTGTTCCCCAATTCGGGCAACTTCTCCGAGACTTGGCAAACCGCACACTGTAAGTCCTACCATCTTTCTTTCTTTCTTTTCTCTCTCTGTCTCTCTCTCTCTCTCTCTCGCTCTCTCTCTCTCTCT